GGAAAACATGTGAAACTCAACTAAGCATAATCCATGTCTGACACTGACCCTAACCTTTTTCATGAAACCAAACCTTTGAGTCTTGATGTATGGCAATCACACATAGATAGATAGATAGATCTGGAGGATAAGAAGAGATCGTTGACCTAAATAATCCTCAGTGTGGGAGACAGCGTGGAAATAAAAATCAGGTCATACGCGCGAAAAATGTCACTAGATCATTGGCACCCGTCCAAAGACACTTTGACAATATTTGTAAATGGCGATGACCCCGCGGTTTCAGACTTCTAGTCTTGTAGCTTTACTAAAATTAAAATTGATTATTCTTGTATGTTTAACATATTTTTGCACGTGCGTGGAGTCGCTGGAGACGAATGTCTTAATCAATAAATGTCAATATTTTTTTATATTGCGCTTGTGTGCGGACGAGCAAACCCACCTGATGGTGAGTGGTTACCGTCGCCCATGGACTCCAGCAACGCCAAGGGCAGAGCCAAGCCGCTGCCCACCGTTAAGTACACAAACCTCGTTTGAAAGTCATGTCATAGCGCTCCGGAAACACCGTGGAGGGGAGCTCATTCCAAAGCCGAATGGTACGCGGCAAAAAAGATCTCTGGAAACGCACTGTAGATGAAGGCAGTGGCTCCAGGTAGTAAACTTCGCAAGTTTTAATGCTTTTCCCATAACTGCGTGACAAAACTTAGACCACTGTCGTGCTAAATACAAACATGCAAATCAAGCCCTTCGTCGCTTAGATTCAAGATTTTAGATTCAATTAGATGCAGGATGCAACTTCGACAGTAAAATTCTTTTATAAAATGTTAAAAACCCTGGTTCCGTGTTTGTTGTATCGTCGGTCAATCGGTAGAATAGAATTAAAAACCAATCATAGTATTTAATAAACTGCTACTAATATACAACCACACAATAGTACAACCATAAGCCCTAGACACGTCCTTACGGATCCATCAGATCCAATAACTTTTGCATTAGACGCCTTCAGCTCTAACACTAGGAGCAGGCTTAGGGACCTCGGTAACCGTACTCGTCGAACTCGACAAAGAGTTCGCCGTGCAACCTAACCCATGAATCAGCTCGCCGAGTTTCTCGCCGGATCTTCTCAGCGGGTCGCGATTCCGATCCGGTAGTAGATTCATTCGCGAAGCAGCTACTCTTGAGCTGTTAGGTCNCGACAAAGAGTTCGCCGTGCAACCTAACCCATGAATCAGCTCGCCGAGTTTCTCGCCGGATCTTCTCAGCGGGTCGCGATTCCGATCCGGTAGTAGATTCATTCGCGAAGCAGCTACTCTTGAGCTGTTAGGTCTCCTTCGGAGGCGCTCGGGTAGCTGTTAGCAAATCCCACCCCTCCTGGCTGAGCCTTTGCTCGCCCACTTGTCCTGGTGAAACTGAAAAGGCCTCCGGGCCACCAGTAATCCTTCAATCATAAAAAAAAAAAAAATACAATCATAAATAATTGCTTCGTTTTAAGAAATAAATACTAACGGAAACTGACTTCATCAGAACAACAAAGGCCTCCTTCTTCATAAGCTCGGTTTTTTACAAGTTTACTGATTAGATACGACAATGTGGCTTGTCTGTTATGATTGTTCGTGTCTTGCCGGAGCTACGGTATCATACACGCGAGCTGCTAGCGATGCACATAGGTTATCGCCGCGAACTGTATCAAAATAATGTCAAACTAATGTCGATAGTTCGTCACTGTAACATCCTCAACCCTATCGCTACGAACGATATCTGTATAATAACATTTATAATAAAAACTAATTCATTAAATGTGTACCGTTTTTTGTGTCCAAATTTGTTAATTATATTGGACAACTAAAGTGGCAGATGAAAGGCGATTGCATGCAGCAGAGATGCGAATGTTGCGATGGATGTGTGGAGTAACGAGAATGAATAGAATACGGAATGAATATCTTAGAGGAATTCTGAAAGTGGCACCTGTGACAGAGAAGCTGAGAACTGCGCGTTTGGGATGGTACGGACGAAATGAAAATGAGGTCAGTAAGAGAATGTTAACTATGAATGTGGAAGGATATAGAGGAAGAGGTAGACATAAGAAGAAATGGATGGATTGCGTGAAAGACGATATGGGTAAGAGGGGAGTGAGCGAGGAAATGGTATATGATAGAAAAGAATAGAAGGAGAAAACATGTTGCGCCAACCCCATGTGACTGGGAGAAGGGCAGGATAATGATGAAACTAAACTAGGAATATTCACATAAGAGTTACTTAATAAATAATATCTCAAACTAATGTTGAAAAGATATGGTAGGGATATTTAATCTATATCTATACTAATATTATCTATACTAATATTATAAAGAGGATAATATTATAAAGAGGAAAGATTTGTTTGTTTGTTTGTTTCGAATAGGCTCCGAAACTACTGGACCGATTTGAAAAATTCTTTTTCCATTAGAAGCCGACATTGTCCCTGATGAACATAGGCTACTTTTTTTAAAAAAAAATTTATTTATTTTTTGGTTTCATGTGTGTTTTAATGTTTCCGAAGCGAAGCGAGGGCGGGTCGCTAGTCTCATATATACTCGTAAATTATGATAAGCATCATCGTAATCTTTGGCGGCAAGACAATCTGATATTTTACTGGTGGTAGGACCTCTTGGGAGTCCGCACGGGTAGGTACCACCGCCCTGCTTATTTCCGCCGTGAAGCAGTAATGCGTTTCGGTTCGAAGGGTGGGGTAGCCGTTGTAACTATACTGAGACCTTAGAACTTATATCTCGAGGTGGGTGGCGCATTTACGTTGTAGATGTCTATGGGCTCCAGTAACCACTTAACATCAGGTGGGCTGTGAGCTCGTCCACCCATCTAAGCAATAAAAAAAAAAAAAAAAAAAAAAAAAAAAAAAAAAAAAAAAAAAAAAAAAAAAAAAAAAAAAAAAAAAAAAAAAAAAAAAAAAAAAAAAAAAAAAAAAAAAAAAAAAAAAAAAAAAAAAAAAAAATTCGTGAGCAATAAAAATCATGATATTTTTCTTTCTATATCGTGCGTATTTACGTACAAAAAACGTAGACACTTAATACAAATTCGTGAACGGTTTACCACGTGGCAAGAATACCATAGCATAATTATAAAAATCGAACACGTAAACATTATGATTTCCTTACTAATAATATTCATGGTTTTTTCTTTAAATGGTTTTTTAAGAGTGTTTGAATGACGATATGTGACAGAGAGAAGAGAAATATTAGCTGTGTCGACCCCACCTAGTGGGATAAGGTAGAGACAAAGAAGATTCATGTTTTTTTCTTGTTCCGAGCCGGGCGGACCACTTCTCTATCTGCTCTTTTTTTTTTTAATTGCTTAGACGGGTGGACGAGCTCACAGCCCACCTGGTGTTAAGTGGTTATTGGACCCCTTGGACATTGAGATATAAGTTCTAAGATCTCAGTATAGTTACAACGGCTGCCCCACCCTTCAAGCCAACACGCATTACTGCTTCACGGCAGAAAAAGGCAGGGTGGTGGTACCTACCCGCGCGGACTCACAAGAGGTCCTACCACCAGTATTTATTTTATTTACACAATAATCATGGTCTGATACTCACACGTCGCTTGTAAAAATGCAAATGATTCCGATCTGGCATCACATCGTTTGAACTAACACACAGACAAACACACTAAGCACTATTAACACTAATTAGAACTATTCAAATAATTGCCGGAAATCAATAGTCAGTTTTTTTTTCTTTATTCAACTGTCACTTACGACGCGTCAAAAGGTCATTAACTTTAACGTTAAATTTGAATTTTTGTCGAAACATACATCCTCAATCGGACTGTTGTAGCAAAAATCTTTGAGGAAAATGTACATAGATGTTAAACAACAGATTTCTTTTTTTTTACTAGTAATGAACCGCAGCTCTTAAAAGAGCAGAGTATGTAACGTACGCTCCGATATATGTTTTGTTAATGAGAGACGCCTCAAATCCATCGTGGCTCATTGCCAATACTAGTGACTAAAAAAATAAACATAATTCTCTAAGAGCACGTCAGGAGACTAAGGCCGGATGATATCTATGTAAATTTGCGAAGAGCACCATTTTCCGTTCTCTTCTGTTGGCCATCGATTTCTTTAGTTTTTTTTGTTCAATTTAAATCATTTCAATTTGTGTCATAACAAAAAATATAAGTATTATTAATAAATATATGAGTTTATATATTCAGTTGACATTGATTACCGTCAAATTTCAATAATTGGGTGTTATTTATAAATTGTCACCTAGAATGAAAAAAAAATTTATTCCTCCGAGACAGTTAAGTGACACCAGCGATGAAAAAAGTAGACGATAAGATAACTTACAGCCCATCTGATGGCGGGGTCCCAGATGCGTATCAGACAACAGGCACGGCGCGCTTGGAGAACGATATGTGATTTCGCTCAGTAAACCATATAAACTACAGATCAATGTGGAAATAAGAAAATAGAACCAATAGGGTGCTTTATCATTTTATATTACACCTACACATACCTATATCCTTCTCGGCACTAACAAAAACTTTACAAACAACAAAACACAAAGTTAAATCTATACTAATATATAAATCTGCAGTGGTTATTACGGATGTTCCGTTATAACTACTGAACCATGCATCCGATTGACTTGAAACTTGGTATCCATATAGAAAATACATGTACTGAATGGATAGGTTAATATTTATACGAGTGTTGGACTCCCTACACCAGTTGCGTTAATGATGAGAATCTTTGTGGGGGTGAGAAATAATAATGTTAATTTTAAATGTCCAGCGAAGCGGACGGGTACAGCTAGTAAATGTATAAATCGTTAGCACTAAATGTTTCCATTAGCACACATTCCATTCTTTATTTACAACCATGGTGCGGTGAGGTACTGCCTACAACATGGTGGGCGCGGCGCTAAGGGAAGCACCCCTGATTGTAGAATTGTATCCAGGCCCACGAGGCCAGTTGTAAAGTGTACATCCTGGAAGACCCACCTGTAGCTGGTCCTGCAGCTGATCGATGACCTCTCTCCTGGCCTCCTCCCTCACCTCCCGGATCCTCTGCTCCAGTTGCGACTCCATCTTCTACCGCGGGGCGAGACGTTAGTCACACATTGTTAGTCGCATACCATGCAAGCAACAAATTATTATATATAGTTCTCGAAATGGTGCTCTATTAAGAACGAAACAGTAAATGGCCACTTAGCGCAGCAAAAAAACATTAAATTCTCAGCAAAGTAAATTAGTCAAACCACTCTCTCGTTATGAAGAAATAATACTAGTCGAAGGGCAAACGAGAATCGAATGCATTACCTATATCTCAATTTATTCAGCTCTAAATAAACCAATAAAAAAAATCTTGCCAATACGATAATTATCATTTAAACACATAATAAAAACTAAAAATTCTTTTTATGTCTTTTATTTATGTCTTTTTATTTTTATGTTTCTTTTGCAATTTTTATTATTATTTCAGAACGGCCTGACTGAGATGCAAAGAATGATAGAAAATAGATAGGACTCCGTAAGCCACCGAAAGCTGATAACTATTATCTATTCCTTCAACCGCATGCAAATGTTCGTATTTACAATAAATTACATATTTACAAATACTATATTAACTAAACGTAATTACATATCAACCTCAATATTTGTCGCCTTGCCCGCCTACTCACTTATAGCTTTCAATAGAGAACTTAGTTTTACGTTAAGAGATTGCAGTTTAAAATATAAAGAAGATTAAAATAGTCAATCATAAACAGCCAGCGCATAATTTACTATCTATTAAGTATTGTATTCACCGGCCTCAACGAATATTCACCAAATATTACAAAAAGTGTTAAGTAAATCACACAAAAGTATCAGTTTAGTGACGCAACCTACAAAGTCAGGTTCGGTCTCTTGTGACGTCACTTGACAGTAAACGGTGCTAGTCTCCAATAATTGTTTTGATACTTCTAAAGTTTGTAATTTCTAACCTAAAAAGCATTCTCGCATGTTCAACAACAACAAAAGTTTAGACACAGTTATTGTACAACAGCACTAACCTTTTCCAGTTCCAAATCTATGTCCTGTTGGTACAAGGTCTCGGTGTTCTCTGCGCTGTGCAGGTGCGCCTTCAGTTGGGATATCTGGGGGAATAGGTTCCAATTTATTATTGTGTTTGTGATGAGAATCAGCAGTTGTTGTCGGACGGTCAGCCACCGCAGAAGGCGCTCGCGTATCTCCAGTCGTAAGATATGTCTCTTAACTCCATGTCGCGACTGGTCATAAAGTAATGTACCTTGAGAGAAAAGGTCAAAGTCCTGATAGTGCCGAAGACGGACACACTGGGTCCACATGGAGTATTTATTATATTTGATTTATTTTACCCAAAATTATTCCTTAATTATTTTTTTTTGCTTAGTTGGGTGGACGAGCTCACAGTCCACCTGGTGTAAGTGGTTACTGGAGCCCATACACATCTACAACGTAAATGCGCTACCCACCTTGAGATATAAGTTCTAAGGTCTCAAGTATTGTTACAACGGCTGCCACACTCTTCAAGCCGAAACACATTACTGCTTCACGGCAGAAATAGGCGGGGTGGTGGTACCTACCCGTGCGGACTCACAAGAGGTCCTACCACCAGTAAAAGGTAAAGTAATAGGAGCATTCGTTAATGAGCGCGCGCGGGTGCGTGCTCTCGCCTTAATGAGCGTTCGGTCTGTACTGTCCAAACACGTTTCCGCGTCGATCTGCACGATAATAATCAAATCAAATCAAAAAAAATTTTATTCAACGTACATGAAAGTACATACTTGTTGAACGTCAAAAAGAACTACCGCCAATTCACAAAAACTAGCCTCCGTCCTGGGAAGAACTGGCAAGAAACTCAGCGGGCATGTCTTTTTTTTAAATATATATATTTTTTAATACTACATTTTTTTTAATATTCATTTTTACTATTAGTATTATAACGTAACAATGATTGCAATATTGAAATACCCGGAGCGAGCAACTCAATAGGACCGACCTCAGCCTCCCTGGAGGCCAGCGCGTCCCTGTGCTGGTCCCGCAGCTGGTGGAGGCAGGCCGCGTGCTCCGCCCTCAGCTCGTCCAGCTGCTGCTCGTACTTCTTGCTGACTTGCCTCACCGCTTGCTCTGTCGGACTCGACTGGACATTCGAATGGAAAAAATCGATGTTACGAGACGAGCAAAACTATTTCCCCTACAACAGAACAGTGCTTGAAACAGTTTTATCTAAAACTAGCTGACACGGCAGACATCGTAATGCCTTAATCGATAAATAAAAGACCTAAACTTTTGTATAAAATAAACTTGAAACAAACAAAAGGAATCCTTCCAACGGAGGACACATCAAAGGAAAAATAAAATTGTTATTTTTTATTTAATTCCGAGCATTTCCATATTTATCTACCATTTAAACCTTCCCTGGACTTCCACAAATAATTCAAGACCAAAATGAGCCGAATCGGTCCAGCCGTTCTCGAGTTTTAGCGAGACTAATGAACAGCAATTCATTTTTATATATATATAGATATAAGATATATAGATAAATATAACCACTTGTACTGTTTTATTTTTATTTTAGACAGTAATGGGACGAATTTTACCCACACTGTTAAACCACTATGGTGCCAATTTCTGCCACGAAATAATCATGCATTTTGGTTTAACAAGTGAGTCATGATAAAACAAAATTGAGATTTCGTCTCATGTCTTAAAGTGCCGGCGGTAATCTCGTTCTGAAGTATATCGGCTGCCCGTCTGCAGTTTTAAACGCGAGGTCACGGGTCAATTCCGCATTATTGAAATTGAAATTAGTATCGGCATTGACAAGGGTTACAATATATTTTCTATAACTAATTGGTTACATCTAGTGACAGCGAGGGTGCGTCAGCGCTACGAGTCCGCCTGCGCGCGTCAGGACGGGGCGCGTCGGAGCGCAGCGCGTCGGGACGGCTCGCGTCCCCCGCGTCAGGCGCGTCCAGCGAGCCCAGCGAGCCCAGGGCCGACACGCACTTGCCGCGCCACACTTCCTCTGAGTAACTGAAATTACACACATACTTTTTAACGAAACTTTGTGCCACAGTAGGCCACATGACAAGTCGTCGTGGCCTAAAGGATAATACGTGCGGTGCATTCGTATCCAGCGATGCAGCGATGTTCGAATGTCGCAGGCAGGTACCAATTTTTCTAATGAATTACGTACTTAACCAATGTTCACGATTGTCTTCCACGGTGAAGGAATAACTTCGTGTAATAAAAACCAAACCCGCAAAATTTTATTTTGCGTATTTACTGGTGGTAGGACCTCTTGTAAGTCCGCGCGGGTAGGTACCACCCCCCCGCCTATTTCTACCGTGAAGCAGTAATACGTTTCGGTTTGAAGGGTCGGGCAGCCGTTGTAACTACATATACTGAGACCTTGGAACTTATATCTCAAGGTGGCTGGCGCAATTACGTTGTCGATGTCCATGGGCTCCGGTAACCACTTAGCACCAGGTGGTCTTTGAGCTCGTTCACCCATGTAAACATTTTTTTTTTAATTTACTCTTCTTTGTTACAATTAATTAACCAATCATTACAAATCATACCTCTTGTTCAAGAAGTCACAAGTTCTGTGAGATTAAGACCTCTATTAAATAAAATGTTTACATTTAGAAAATGCAAATCCAACTTACCCTTTTTTAGGCCTAAGCAGCATTATATAAAAAGTAAAAAATTATATTTAACTTTTTAGTTTATGTTATGTTTAGTTTATGACGATTGCTTATGATTAAAAATTAATATAGCTTAACATAAAGTTTTGTCTAAACTGTGTTTGTTTTTTCACATTGGACATTAAGATACAATTTATGAGACACAATATAGATACAATTATAGGAAGATTTTCGTAATCAAACTCAAAACCATTGGCTAAATAAAATTTCTCAATGAATTTCAACTGACCTTCTTTCCATGTCTGAGCATTTTTTTTCGAAATACATCCTCAGGTTTTCCATCTCCTTTTCGTGTTTGGCCGCCAATTCCTCTCTTAAAATGTCTATGTCAGCATCTCCAGATTTTACTGAAGCCAGAAGTTCTCGTAAACGTCTTGTTTCTATTGAATAGCTTTGTTTGTCTTGCTGCATTTGGGCTTCCAATTCCTTCATTTCAGTATCGGATTCTATTCTCAATTTTCCAACCTCATCTGCTAACAAACGAACCAAACTCTCTCGCAACTGATTCTTTGAGTTTTCTTCAATGCATTCATCAAATTTGTTAACAATTTCGGTAATTTTATCTTCAAAACCAGTTAAGAAGTCATCTGATTCTTCTGAAGACCTCAAATCTGATTTTGAATAGTTCACTACAATCTCTTCCCTATCCATATCTTTTTCACCATTAGAACTTTGCATGGATGAACTACTGCTGACGGCAGAGAAAAACTTAGTACTGTCATCTTTAACCATACTTTGGTATTTCACAAAATCTGATAGCTGCCCTTTGATAGTATCTCGATCAGATTTCTCATTTATGAAATGCTGCAAATTTTGAACTTCATTGATGAGATGATCGTTTTCATGTCTAAGACTATCACATTCGCTGACACAACGCTGCAATGAGATGGTGAGTTCCTCTATTAGTTGGTCTCGATGTATAATAGTATCTTCCAAGTGCACAAGCTGAAAGGACAAAGGCATACATTTACAGACATACAGTTAGCAAATAAGCACCATGCATGTGGTATAGTGGTCTTTCTTCAGAATTCACACTAGATACCAACACTGGATTGTTACTGGTCTTAGCACCGAGACTATCAGATCACTTCATTTATTATTAAAATAATTCTGAGCTAAACTTTGTGCTATGTAAATCAAAATTAGCTAATTTTTATAGAATATTGCATTCTAAACATTGAATAATGAAACATTTATGCAAGCTCTAAGTTCTGCTATTAAATTTCTATGATTTTTCTGATGCATATTAAAAATAAAAATTGTCAGTTAATAAACAATAACATGCATAATTTTAATCAAAATCAAGGCAAAGTAGCAAATGCCACTATGAGCTCTATGACTTCTTAAACATTCTAAGCATATTTAAAGAAAATCAGGCTAACTACAAAGTGCTAAACTCAAAAATAATGTGTCCATTTATTTAATTAAAAATAAGTTAGTATAATATAAAAACACATAACAGAATTGCAATGAAACAAACACCACATGCATGCAGTAAATAATCACAGGTACCTTCGCGTTGTATTCTTCACAAATAGTTTTGTACTCTGTTGTCATTGTACTTATCGAAGTTCCATCATCTACAGGCATTGATTTCTGGGGCATTGATTCCTCTTTCCCATCATTATCTTTCTCTTTAACTACCTCATCAAAAAGGAACTCTTCTACTAGAAAGTCTTTTTGTTCAATATTATCACTGGAACTACTTTTTTCAAGATTTAAAGATTTTTCAGGAGCACTATCTTTAACAGGTTCATCAATAAAAATATCATCCACTTTAATGCTATCTCTAGCACAAAGTAAAAAAGGTGACATCAAATTAGGATATGTTGTGATTGACTCTACTTTTGCATCCATAAGTGTACTGCCTTCAGGCGGCGGACCAAATATAATTTTTTGGACTGGAAATTGTAACTTTGGCACTCCTTGTCCACGGATGTCTAGTTTAATAATTTCCTCAGAACCAGAACTGAACTTTTCACTATTATCTATGTTTTCAGAAATTGAATTATCACTCTCTCGTGTTCCTAACGTTTCATTAGATTGATTGTTCAGTGAATCATTGTAATTTTCACTTTGAAGAGATTGATCCATGTAAGGTTCACTTTGCAACTTTGGGCTGTCAATAGAAACATTTTGAGTCCTTTCTTTATCAGAAGATAGTGCCAAATTAACAGGGCTCTCGTCACTGATCAAATGCATGTCAACATTCACGTCTATAGGCCAAGAGGTACTTAATTTGTTTGGATCTTTTGTTTGATTTTCACTGTCAGAAGAATCAGGTGGTTTTATGGGTGATGGTGCATTAAGAGGCACCAGTTCTGGTTTTACAATTACAATTTCCTGGGCTTTAGAATTTTCAGATTCCGAAAGACTTTCTAATCTGGAGGGAATATGCTCTGATATTGATTCAGTTTGACTGTCTTCATTGTCACTTTGTAATTGGGTTCCCTGTTTTTTATCGTTTTCTCCATCGGTTGTCCCTACGGCTATCTGTTGAGAATGTACGACATCCGGAAGAACATTCTAAAAATAAATTAAAAATATAAATGAACGACTGAAAACAGCGCGCTCAAGTCTTCTTTCAAATTCTTTTCACTGGACTTATACGGAGTGTTTTGAATAAAGTTTATATTTAGATTAAAATATTTGTCACATGTAGGACGCGATTCCCACGAAAAATACAGGTAAAACGATACAACATTGCATTAAGAACCTATTTTTAACATTGCAACGATTAAAAATACCTTCAGGACTTTAATTCATCGTATTATTAATGAGAAACAATATAAAAATACTGACAAGCCGTTACCTTTATTTCCGTAGTTTCCGATGGATTTTCGTCGGGATCATCCATAATTTAACATTATCGTAAAATCAATTGGATATTTCATAAAACTAGCAGGTACGAATTTCGTTGTCAAGGAGACGTTTCGACATTCAAACAAAATACAAACTAAAACGCCATAACGAATGCTCCGTTCCGTTTTACGCATCACAGTTGATCACAGTTATAGCACACATCATTTATGATCATCAACCACCAGGAAAAAAGTTCTCGAATCTGATAAAGGAATATACGAAAAAGTATATTCAGTTCTAATTTTTATTATTGCTGTAGTACCACCATATTCGTAGCGGTCGCGAGTCTATGAGCTTTTCAGCAAATGTAATTCTAATCACAGTACATACACACGTAGGATGTTCAGAAAAAAGAGCTAGTTAATTTAGCACACATAAATCTTTGATGGCTTATTAGTTATTAGTAACTGTGATTACTAGATGACGATATAAATATGTACTAATCATGGAGTTAATAAGTACCTACAACTGGAGTGCTATCTAATGCCGAGAAATCGGTCTCGAAAGAGAATACTTTTTGGTCGCGGTGTCCTTGTCTAATATGGTGACCATATAATTTTTTTTTATAGGACAAAATTATACACATGCGTCAGTTTTGAATTTACCTTAAGTAATTCTGTGTAACCCTATGTAAATACAAAACACGTGCTTGCAACGTTTTATTTATGTAAATTCAATTCTAAACATTGCTTCGTCGTCATGGTGACTTTTTTCCGACGGTTTTTTTTTGAAATTGCTGCGTTGTCGAAAATCGCACTGAAAAGAGCACTGAGTTTTATTACAAACATCATTACCTCAGTTCTATTACTTAAACTTCCTCAAACTCATGTTTAACGTCCGAATACTCAACCGCGACTTAAATAATATATTATGTTGAACTTAATTACGCAATTCCTACTTTAATGTACTGGCTAAGTGGGCCGTGCAAATTAATATTTGACACACTGCAACACACATGGTCTGTGCGTATCGGGTGCTCTTTTCCTACATTCACATCTTCAATTAATTTAAAATTGCTTGTATTTTTACTTCTGTGCTATTTTCATGACACGTGTATATTAAGTCTACTAGTTACATTTTAGGAAATAAAACACAATGGGTAATAAAATGAAATGAACTCAAATTCATTTATTTGTTATATGTAGACAATTAAATAACTCTTAAATGACAAGTCAATACACATAACACGATACACATAGTACTTGATCTCTATTTACAAAATATTGGTTATATTATTATTATTAAGTTCAGTTACTTTTCTGTAGTCTTATAATATAACATTTCCTCTATATTAAGTAAATTCTTTTTTTTCAACGAAATACATAATTTATTTTAATCAATATCTAAGTGGACCATGAGTATCATTAAAATTTCGCAATTTAAATTTCAATTCAATTAAAAATCGCCATTTTTCTTTAATAAATCTAAAATCGACTTTATATTTACAATTACTATTTCGCGACTTTTAAGTTTTTGTTTCAATACCTTAACATCTTGTCGTAATTTTGCTTTTCTTGGGGTATTTTTTATTTCTTGCGTTTGAGTACTTGATTCTTCTTGTTTGACCTTTATATAGAACATTTTCCAGAAATTCTAACGTCATATTTACTAGAAGATCCTTCTCGTTCGCTTAACGTCAGGCAAATGATATACATGCTTGCGTGCGACGCTATTCAATACAATAAAAAAGTTCAAAAAATACCACGTGATGGCTCTTATAATATGAAAAATACATTGCAAAATTATAGTTTTCACGATTGTTTTTTCAAATTTAGTATATGACATAGATTAAGTACAATTTACAAGACAAATGGTATTAAATATTATAATGAGAAAATATATCTCACATTTTAAAAATATATGCTCACACTAGTAAAAATTTATCAATGAATCTGACATATGGAAGGATATTCCACAAACTGGAGAGGATTCTCGCTTAAAACCACTTATATTAAAAGTGTTCACCATGATTACACGGAAACTTTCACGATTTTCGAAAAAAAAACAAGCCACAAGCTGTATCAGTGCCATTTTAACTTCGCACTACAAACGTAAATAGACGCCATTTTTCTTTTAATCCATTCATAGCTCTTTTTCGGTGATGCCAACAATTAATCTGGCTTCCCACCAAATTCAACATGAAAACCATCAGAAATCTACGTACCTACCATAAAATTTTCCATTAAACAGAGTTCTTATTAATATAGAACAATATTTTTTTTGTTAATGAGCTTTATTAATATATGATGTTCTATTAAAAATCAATATATATCATATAATCAATACTTCTTATATAATTTATTTTAATAAATTGTCATCATCAGAAAATAAATTCACCATAACTTTGTACGTTTATGTTGAACCAATTTAATTTTTGACGTTGATGGAAATTCTAAATTGTCGCAATATTTTCTAGTTAAGTTTAAGTCACATCGTTTAAATAATATGTATTTAGATATATTATTGTCATAAAATGTTTAAAATCCTGTAAAGTGGATTGATTTTAACCTTTTCAATAATTTTCAACAACGCCCAAGCTACTAAAAAATCCACTAACCACTAAAAGCCATTTTTGATAACTAAGACGGGGGTCCAAATTCCGAGATTTTATGGAAAATCCTCTAAGCTAGCAACACTGCTTTTTGCTTGTAAAATGTGCGAGAGGGACACCACCACTTAATAATCATTCTCTTTTCAGACCGTTTTTCCTTACATCTTTTGCTATTTAAAAATAAACTTTAAGCCATAGAGATAAAGTATATTTTTAGTTTTTATGTCAAACGAAGTAAGCACTCCAGTTAGAATAGTAACTCTATGGTTGTCTATAACAAATTTAACAAGCGACCAAATCAAAAAGTCACAATGGTACTCTTCATCATAGTGAGTTCGGTTACTTTCCATTTCGTTATTACAAGCTGAAGAACATAACTGCTTTAAGCTATGCAACAGATGCGGGTGACCACGTGTTTCTAACGGGCGGTCTTCTACGCTCTCTGTGAATCTCTTTTTTTTCTTAGAACACAAGTATTAGCTGTGCTTCAAATTCCAAAACACTTAAAATCTCGGAGACGCTTAGAGTTGCATCAAAGAAAGCTTTCTCACGGTATCGTATGGGTTGAAACGGTTAATAAAAGTTCGTTTAAAAGGCAGCTTGTAAGAGGCTCGGACGTCACTTATAATTTATTCGAGTCAATGGAGACGTCATTGTTCTATTAGTTACATGAGAGGGGACGTCTGGCAAGTTTGAATCTTTAAAATCGATACTTCTTCCGATTCGTGATTTTCTAATGTGGTAATTAATATTTTTGCAACTACCCTCCAGTATGAAGCTTGTAGTAATAGTGGTGCTGGTGGTAATAAATAACAGAAACACTTTTTTCATGCGATGTCCGTCGCGTTTATCCTTCACATTTATGAGTTATTCCGCACACAAATATTTAGAATTTCCCTGTTTACTCTTTTTTGTATCTAGAGAACTAAGGAATAATTGACAGAAACAGTTTAAGAACCATAAACGAAAGAGTTTTGTAGTGAATCTTTAATCATCTCAAACTAAGTCTCTTAGTAATTTATAATGTACAAAAAATACGACATGTGATCAAAATTACTGTGATTACGGGAGAAATAAGCACTGTGGTTGATAAATGACAATGTAACTACACGATATAATCGTCGCTAATAAAGAAGTTAAGATGTAATTTCGACATCCGGCCTGGCCATCAATAAATAAGATATTAAATCCATAATTCAACGAAAAGTGATTATACATACGTATGAAAGCTCACAAGAAAGCTATTTTAGTCGCTCAAGAATTGAATTAATAGAGTAATATAAATGAAATTTGTTTAACATTTAATAAATTCACGGTATAACGATAAATTCTTAACATAACAATATGATGTATACAATAAACAAAAACATCTGTTTTAGTGTCGCGACGTGTTAAAAAAACGTCCGTAACTTACATAACGAGCCGAATATGTGAAAACGTAAACAAAATAATAATTACATAATCCTAAACGGTATCAGAACTTTTTGCTTGTTTGTACAGGCGTAATAAGTCTTGTGAGTTGACACAAATTTAAATTAAAAAAAAAAAAAACGGGCAAACAATTCCGTCAAGTTTTCCCGCCTGAGTCTCACACATGTGCCCGCGTTCCCAGTTTGCTGCGTGGGAAACGTAGCCGCCATCTTGCGTTGCCTTCTTCAGTCCAGGACGAAGTTTTTGTTCAGTTAAAGTACTAATAAATATAGAGGCACGAGAAGATAATTCATTGAACACTTTTAATGTGGAATTGCTTCTGGTTTTGTCACTAAAACGTGTTATCTCACCGTGTGAATTTTTTTTATTTGAGAAACCGTTTCTTTCGATATATTAATGTTATCTACTAGAAAGTATTGGGCATAGGTACTTAAATTAAAAAGCAATATATCAAGTAAGAATTCAATGTATTGATAATAAACAAATAATTATTGTAGTATGATAACATTGATGATTGATTAGCTTTTTATTTACTAAATAATTGTAGTTACCTTATTGATATCTGTCTGTATTTTTTTATGTTTTTGTTTTGTTTAGACGAGCTTACGGCTCACCTGGTGACAATTTGTTGTCATTGCCCATAGAAATCGTGACTGCAATGAATGTCGTCCTTGACAAATCATATCGAAATATTTATCAGATTACAAATGAGGAATCCTCTTCCGATTTCAGCATATGAAGATAAACCCCTTTCTTGTCTGTATTTAGCAGAGAATGCTCAAATGCTCATTACAGCCGTCCGGATATCCGCCTGTACACAATGGTGTACGTTTCGGAGAGACTGTCGTTACCGGAGCAACTGTGCATCCCGCCTTAAACGCTCAATAAGGCAACGCACTGTAATCTCGCCGCAGTAGGCGCGCGCACGCAATCCGCGTGTGGCGTAAGTCCTCGGCGTTCATTACACGTGCAGAGCATTTTACCTACCCTACCAATTATAATAATAATTATTATTATAACATTAATTATTTTCATGTTCGTAATTCGCGAACATACTGCCGTGAAGCAGTACTGCGATTCGGGTTT